TTTAGATCGGAGGATGTCAGTTGGTAGATTTGTTCTCGATCATGTGTGACCTTAACTGTTTGTTATGTCTACATCGGCTAAATTGCCGATCGCCTATGCTTTAACGCCTAAAATGTGTCTCCATGATTCTGTTAAATGTGGATAGATCTGTTTACTTTAAAGGTTTGATTTGTTGTTTTTATCATGGCTGTCATCGATCTGGTTGAACCCCACTGTTAGATATAGTAGGTTAAGTCTGATGAATTCATAGATTTATCCATGTTAAATAGTCGATTGTTCATACGTTGTAGTCCCTTTTCACCTGAATCTGCTATTTCAGCCGATTCGTTCGAGCTTTAACACATATAACATGTTTTTCGGAAAGCCCGTCAATGTGTAGATGGTTTTACAGATTCTTCAGTTTTAGTTTGTTATTATCATCATAGCTGCCATCGATCCGGTTGAACCTCACTATTGATGGTAACATATTAGATTCAGAGCGTTTGTAGATCCATTTGTACTAAATAGTCGATTTCTTCGTATGTTATATCTTTTCTCGTTAGATTCATCGGCTCAATACTTTACACTGGTAATACCTACCTAGCTGATGATTTTACCTACATCTGCATGCATTGTACTTGTCAACATAAAATCAATCGCTACCCACGAGATTTACAGTCCGTAACAGCCAATTTCTGCGTGTATCGGCTATTTAGTCGATTTTCCCGTCTGGCTGCTCCCGAAGCGGCACACTTAGAACTGTCTGGGCAAAACCAGCATGTTCCACCTTAAATTACTGATAAACTTTCTCTCCTTACCAATTGCAGGTCAAATTGACTGGCACGCCTCGGGAGGAATTCGTAGGATCGGCTGGTCCTGCGTTGAAGCTAAGCGGATCTCCGGGCTCATCCTAAGCAGATCCTTTCGGCTTGCTGTGTGCTAGGCGCATCGACACTAAAAAATATTAATAATAAAAAATAAATATTATTTTTCAAGTAAAATTAATATTATTAAATTTATAAATGAAATATATTTTTATAATATACTTATTTAAAAATATAAAACATGATATTATTTTTTATGATTCTAATTAAAATTAAAATTGTTCGACTTGTCAGCAAATGAGAATCCTAATGTTTCTTATAACGGGGAGTATTTCAATTCAAAGAGATTTTTCAGCTTCAAATTACATCTCCATTCACTCCACTGATGAGCCATTTTGTAGGGCTTTTACATGATTTCTAATTCGAGCACCCTAGCATTTTGTTGCAAACTACCGAGGGTATGTTTGGATCCATCACTAACCATACCCAAACCTTTACCGACCAATACCATTTCACCTACAAAGGTGAAGGTGGCCACCGTTACAACCATAAGAATCTGCCAAAGTACGATGGCAATATGGAGTTGGTATGCAAACCTCCATCTAAGAGATTTCTACTCTTGGGAACACCTCTGAACAAAGTTGTATTCAAACGTCAAAGGCGTCAACCTAGCCACGCACTACCTAATCGACTTTGTCGGTTGCAAGCAAAATGAGGTGTGAATCTGCCCTTGAGAAACTTTTGGGGGATCTTTCTACCCCTAAGCCTCAAATGCCATGCACCCTTTAGAGGCCTTCGACGACATGGGATTAGACAAGCTCAATCTGAACCCCGTACCCTCATCAGACCCAAGGTCGTAGCCTTAGGGAACTTTGATAAATCAACCGCCTCAACAAAACCCATGGACAGGTGATCAACAACATCGACATCGAATCACCATCATATCCAGAATCCTCATGGAGACAAGTAGCAATCATCTTCACTACCAAAGGTTCCTTCACCTTCCGAACTTGAACCCCGGCCGAAGCATGAGCCACTTTGGAGGCAGAAGGCCCATTAGCATCCTTAGCTGCCCGCTTCCTCGATGCCTGTTGAGTCGGTCCGGAAGACATCACCTTCCCCTTATCATCCCAAGGGGCTACTGTTTGGGGTTCATGCCTTTGAAAAGTGATCCCGCCTGCTGATGCTGAGTCTCTACACCTGGGTCCAAGCTAACGGTGGCCATGCTCCGCTATGGATCGTTCAGAGGTGCGCTGACGTGGACCATATTTAAACTATATTTGTACAACGCTTTGTGGTAAACATGCACCTAAATTGACTACCCATTTGCCAAATTTGTACAACTTGACCTTTTCCTACTCAAAGCAGGCCTCAAATCAGTGGGCAGGGATAACAACACACTTGAATTTTCCATAATTTGCAAGAAAATGGACTCTATATCATACTCCCTACTTACAAACAACCAAGTTGAAATAATGTAGTTTAATCCATTACTTTTAATCCAAAATAGGAAAAAACAATTGTACCCCAAAATACCTCGTCACACCAAGACATGACACATCCTCTATTTAGGGCCTATTCGAATGCCCTTGAGATATTGAAAATCATATAAAAACTCTATAAAATGGCCACCGATAGAGTTTATGTTAGGGATGAGAATAATCTTATACCCAGATTCTTGCAATCTCTAAATCCGTCGTCCTAGCTTATTCTTCAGGATTCTTCCTCTCATCAGGCGTTAAAAGATAAACATGCCCTTACCTTATCCTCTTCCTCAGAAAGAGAAGGATAAGCTCCTCTCGCACCGCATCACGTCTTCTTGCTTGCCCACTCCCACCCTATCTCCCTCACACCCGCGGCTCCCATCCTCAGGCAAGTTCGCATCTTCCATCCGCCAATGCATCTGCCATCACGTAGTAGGGCTGCGACCCTATAGCCTCCCTCATCGCTCAATCCCATCATCCCCTCATGGCCCCGTTCGCTGGTCTGAATCTTGGCTGAAATTGGTTAAAAAATACTGTTCCGGCTGAATTGTTGTGAGAGAAAAACACTGTTCCGACTGAAAAAACAAGCCAAATATGGGGTAAACCGAACGAGGCCATTACCTCCCAAAATCCCCTTGCGCTCGAGGAAATCCATACGGGTGTCGAGGCTGTTTGGTTGGCCGTCTCAGCTTGCCAAGCCACGGATACGGCGCACCACAAGTTTTCTGTGCATTGTTTGGTCGAGAATACAACTTACGTAGCCACATGTGACGCAGAGCCTTTTGTTGTATGTAATATAGCCACACTCCGTGACGAGCAATTCCTACGCTACGCTCAATGGCGAGCCACGGTCTGCCGCACATGCGTTGTGGCTACCGATGGCCGGCATCAACATCCGCGTCATCTCTTCTGTTTGCTTAGGCTTTGAAATACTCCAAACAGTTTGAGATTTTTTTGGCCAGAATCTGCATTCTAGGATTCCCTTCGATTCAAACGGTACCTAGAAGTAGGACGACGGACGGTCGACGGGTCGACGCAGCGGTTTCAGGTTTGGACACTGTAGCACGCTTCGTCTGGACCAGGGGGACAGGGTAAAGTGGCCACTGCTGACTAGCCAACTGGTACCGGGTACTTTATGGACTGACGATAAGTTCCTCGTGCTGCGCTGACCTTGACAGGTCACAGATCGAACAAGACTGCTGCAGCCTGCTGCCTGCACCAGAGTACTACGGAGTACGGAGTACTGGTACTCCTTGCAGATGCAGATGCACGCACAATCGCACTCGCACACACAACGCACGGTACACGCACGACGACGCTACAGGTAGCAGGTTGTCATCAAAGGGTCCGAACGCCGAGGCCCGTGCATGCATCATTCATGCACATCACATGGACGGTAGGGAGGACAGACAGACACGGCAAGAGATCTTTTCGCCGGTCGATGGCTCTGGCTGACTGGCTCCATCGCAGGAGCTGCGCTCTCGCTGCGACGCTGCCTGCCACTGCCGTTCGTCAGCCATCCATCAGAGGCAGGCAAGCGTCGACGTCGACGAGCAGGCACCAGTCCTCCACCGCGCCAGCCCAGACACACGCACGCACCTCGCCTCTGCAGGAGATCAGGGACCAGCATCGCATCACACCAGGTACTGTTACAAACGCCGTGTTTAGTTCACCCCCAATATCTAAAAAGTTGCTACAGTACCTGTCACATCGAATGTTTACGGTCCATGCATGGAGCATTAAATGTAGACAAAAAGAAAAACTAATTGCACAGTTTGGTGGGAAATTACGAGACGAATGTTTTGAGCCTAATTAGTCCATGTTTGAACACTATTTGCCAAATAAAAACGAACGTGCTACAATAGCCTTAAAATCCAAATTTCACGAACTAAACAAGGGCAAAGCTTCGTGTGGGAGTCCTGGTACGCAGCACCAGCGTACAGTGTACGTACACTCTCCGTTCACCTGGGCACAGCAGAGAGCTCAGGCGTACGTGCACAGAAAAGCACGCACCGAGAATCGGTTCTGTGCTTCGGAACCACGAGGAACTCTGCCAATGGTAGTCAAAGACAGACTGATTCTAGTCTCTACGAGTAGATAAAGAACGTTTCTAGTGTTTTTCTACTAGAGATCAGAATCATCTCTATAGTAGTTTCTACTAATTGTGGTTCTTGCTTTCCTACCTCCCATCTACGAGTAGTAATCTAGAAATGTTTCAAGTCACCCTTCAAATGAAAACGACCTTTTCTTTTCTTTTTTTGTACATCTTATATATTTTTAAGATTCTTTTTCTTGTAAAACAATGATTTTCATCACCTTCAAGAATTAGAATCTGGCCATCTAGCCAAACCATTTGAGAAAGTGATTCTGATTCACCAGAAGAAACCGAATTTGAAACGTTTCTGAGAGACTACCAAACACGTCCTTGACACACACAACGACTGTGATCTGGTCGACGGCCAGAAGCTTTTTATACTGTATATATGCTGTTGAATTTCCCTGTCATGCTACAGCATGCATCGTCTGCGGTCTTGCAATGGAAATGGAAATGGTCTGCTTTGTCCATCTACCTATAGTCCTATACACTGCACTGCTCTGATATCACTGCCATGGGGGGGTTTCTGGTGATCTGAGCAGCGTTGTCCAAAACTCCCAGCTGCTGCATTGCATTGCACATTTGCATGCCCGCGCGAATCAGCGGACCAACCGACTGTCACAGCTTCTCCACCGGGAAGCCGATGACGGGCTTGACCTCGCGCGCCATGGACCGGAGCTCCTCCACTTCCTCGTCCGTCAGGCTCCACCCCAGCGCCCCCGCGAACTCCCGGGCCTGCTCCGCGTTCTTGGCGCCAGGGATCGGCACCACGTTGCCCTGGCACACCAGCCAGTTCAGCACCACCTGATGACCAAGACACAGGCACACTTGCTCATCAGCCATGTACGTATGTCAGAGAAGAAACACAACTGCGTACAGTAATACTACTGTGCTGCTCGTCGATTCTGTCAGCGAATTGACGCCCTAATAGTTGAGCCAAAAGTTCCTAGGCCCAGGGCAGCATGTTAATACAGTTTGGAATTGGATTGCTTGCTAGTGTTTCATTTCATGACCAGTATTGGTTGCAGTAACTGTTGTCATTATTCTGTCACTAATAAGTTTGTTTCTTGTAAGACATGTCTGAGTCTGCACATGTGAATGTAGTACTCCTATTTGCCAATAGCGCCGACACTTTGCAAGGAGCCAAGGACAAATCATTGTAGTACAGTTGAGCTCTGATATAGGAGTAGTATATATATAGATATAGATATAGCTGGACAGAGCACCTGTGTTGAAGTCCTACCGTAGCTTCCTCCGATCTCCTTGATCCGGTTGATAAGTGGTTGGAGCTGCATGTCATGATCCAGGGGAACTTCAGTGAGTAGAGAGTGTCCAGGAACCAATAAACAATCACAAAATAGTTGGAAATGCAACCTTTGTCAGGAACTCTGGCGTGTATATCCGTCCTCGAGGCCCTTTCGGGGGATTCTCCGGAGTGTATTTTCCTGTCAGAGCACCTGAACCAAGGAAATTGATTCATACATCAAAACAATACATGCATGATTTCATACTAGATAAAGGCTAGTGAGCTTAGTTGAGTTTGCCAACCAAAATAGGTACAGAGTTCATATGTATACAATCGCAGAACAACAAAAAGTGTGTGCAGAAGAAACAGGTTCTACCTTGGGCGATTGGGGAATACGCGATCAGAGTAATGCCAAGCTCATCGCAAGCCGCCTTCACCCCGTTGTCCTCCGGGTTCCTGTATATCAGACTGTAATTCACTTGGTTCGAAGCGAGTGGAATTCCCCTTTTCTTGAGGCGCTCGTAGGCATCCCGGAGACGTTTTTCTGGTACCCAGTTATGAAAAAAACCGAAATTGGTATGGCTTAGTTTCACTGAAACAAGTGTTGGAGTTAGACATATTATATTAGTGTTGGAGTTAGACAGCAACCGCTGTAGTTTGAAACTCCAACAGCCTTTACAAGGCCTTGCTCGACAGCGTCTCCAAGGCCATCCAGGTAATCTGAATCATGCAAGATCAGTGAATTTGGTGTACTAATTAAAAACTAAAGAGGGGTTCATCAAAACTTATTTGTTAATTATTTTTGTCATACCTTCGTTGCCCCATATCCCTGGCCTGAAAAGGATATGCGAAGAGATGTTAACTGATAGAGTCGACAGAGAGAGAGGTAAAAGAAAGTTAGTTGAAAAAAGGCTGATGAGCCCACCAATGAAGTTGGTAGAGCTCAACTGAAGAGATGCCAAGGCGATCCAACGAGGCCTTCAGCGCACAAATGACGCTCCCACGACCAAACCTCCATGGAAGAGCTGCAAACTTTGTCGCGATAGCCACTTCCACCTGTTCCTTTTGTTGCCTTTCCTTGATAAATCTGATGGAAAGAGGGGACTTCAGAACTGATACTGCACAGACTTAATTTACAGTATAAATAGATCCATGAAGAATGTTTCATGACATACCTTCCTAGTAAACTTTCTGAATTAATCGCTCCCGATATCTGAATAGCATACATTTTAAAGTAGTGTTAGATTTTACCTTATAATGAAGGGGACAGAGAACGGGTGATGAGGCATGAAGCTTTGCTGTTTCTTACCCCTGCTCCATACACTTCAGCGGTATCAAAGAAGGTTATTCCACAGTCGATACTCGCATCAAATGCTCCTTTAGCCGCCTTCAGTTTCCTATCTGGTATTTTTATCAGAGTGTTCACTCGAATCAAAAGGCAGCCATTCCCATGTTTTGCAATGAAAAGTACTGGTAACGATTCAACCGAATCGGCAGGCAATAAGTGCTGTCACAGCTGAAGAGCATCTAAATTGAAACAAGGAAATGCATGTTGTTTGAACGCAGCTACGTGATGTAATATACATCCATGAGCGCATGGTGCTCGTCGTTCTGGCACCTCAAGATGATGGTGCCGCGTCCTCGGATCACCACCCTTGAGCCGTCACCGAATTTCACCGTGCCGGTCACGTTGCCGTCGAGCTCGGAGAAGGCTTCCTTAGAGCCCATCATGTGGTTGCTGGCGCCGGAGTCCAGGTACCACCGCTGCTCCTGCTCGCCGCCCACACGTCCAAGGTGAACTTGGACACGCGGTTCGTTGAGGATGATAGCCTTTAGAGCCTTGCCGTGTCCTTCCATCGCCATCACCTCTCCCTTCTCCTTGGCCTCAACGTCGTGCAGTGCACAGAACGTCGCCATCAGAAGAGTGGCCTCATCATCCTCATCAACCTGCGCTAAATGATCTTCAACCATCTTCTCCCGCTTGCGATTTGGGCACTCTTTTGCCTAATGGCCCTTCTTCCCGCAGCGCCGACAGGCGTTGGGGTCGACCTTTTTTTTGTTCTTCTCCGAAGAAGCCTTGCCGCGGCGCTTGCCATCGCCACCGCAGCTGGAAGAGGCTTTCCCGGACTTCTTCTCCTTTATCCGGGCAGCCCACTCCTGCTCTGTCAGCAGCAGCTTGCTGCTGTCCGTTGTTGCTGTGGCCTGCTCCATGCGCTTGTCCATCGCCCGCAGACGGCTTTGTCATATCCTCAATGGTGAGGGTGGACAAGTCCAGCATCGTCTCTACGAAGAGAGCGATCTGGATGTACTTCACCGGCACGGAGTGGAGGTACTTGGAGACCGTCTCTTTTTCATCGATGGTGACGCCGTGGCTTCTTAGCTTGCTGATGAGCGACTGCAGGCGGAGGGAGAAGTCCTCCACCGACTCACCATTTTTGAACTTGAGGGTGGCGTACTCCTACTTCAGCAGCTGGGCCGTCGCCTTCTTTGCGCGGTCGGAGCCGACGCACACCGCTGCAATGGCCTCTCACGCCTCCTTAGCAGAGTTCTTCGCCCTCAACGGCTCCCTGTACTCTGCCGACACAGCAGCGAGGATAGCATCCAACGCTGACATGTCGTCTTCTTCATTGTCGGTGCCCTTGTCAATGGCATTCCAGAGCTGTCGGGCCCTAAGCTTGATCTTCATGGTCACCATCCACTCGTCATAGTTGGTGCGAGTCAGCGTCGGCCAACTGGTGCCGCTGACCTCCCGCACCGTGCGCACGATGACCTCCTATCGTGGCTGGGCAGCCATAGCAGCGCCGCTGCTGTCGTCCATCTCCAAACCGTCCGTCATCACCAGTGGTTAGTCTGGCGACGGCGCTTGTACGGCTCCGATACCACTTGTTGGGTCCGGGATCTCCCGCACGGGTGAGCCGACCGGTCACCGGCGTTCTCGCACACACACTATGGCGGAGGTAGAAGAGGGAGGGAGAACAGAGCTCGCACACATACAACACAAGCGAGTTCAGTTTTGCCATCTCATCTGCAGAGCTTTAGCCAATGCTGGTGCCTGTCCTTTGTGTGCGCGCGCTCTGTTCTTCCTCCCTCTTCTACCTCGAGCCATAGTGTGTGTGAGAACGTCGGTGATCGGTCGGCTCACCCGTACGGGAGATCCCGCGCCCAGCAATGCCAGTTTCGAAAATTATTTCAGGTTGATTTGGATTTTGGTCAAAGCAGCAGGCGCGTCATATGCACCGGAAGTATGACCAGAATTTGAGGCCAACTAAAATTTCTTTCAACGAGATGCTAGTAATCAGGAGCACAAGTCCTGGGATGGGTTTCAGTTTCACTGTGCGATTTCAACTTCAGTATCGAAGTAGACTTGTAGTACCAACCACTTGTTCAGGGTTCAGCCTACCGGTTGAGCGTAAATACTGGAGAGCACCGGTAGGACCGAAAATCGGTGAAATTATGGTTGATTTTTTCAAATCTTTATAAAATTTTAGCTAAATATTGTTTAGAAATAAACTGAACGAAATGAAACTTCAGTATCGTAGGACAGGCGTACCAACTACCAAACCATACCAGTACGTTTTTTTCTGAAATGCCATACTAATCTGAAGCCAATTTCAAAGCTGCAGCAGCCTTGGCTCGTTTAGAAATGTTTTGTCCTGCAGGATTCGTCATTATTCATCTAGAAGGTTGGAGGATTCAGAAGCTCACGGGCTATACTAAAACAATGCTGATTTTTATGGCATTTGTAAGTCGGTGGAAATTTCAGAGTGTAATAATTCTTACCTGGAAAGTGGTTGTAACAGCCTAGCATATAATCTTGTACTAGTATCCTAGTAATTACTAGATGTTATATAACCTGACGCGCCCTTGCAATACAGTAAGAAAAATGATTACGAGACCCTGAACCAAGAAGCACGCAAACGTACGTACCGTCCCACTGGAACTCGTTCCAGTAGGTGGTGTCGCCCCAGGACCACGCCCCGACGCCGAGCTTGGTGACGGCGACGCCGGACCCTCCCAGCGCCACCTTGCCGCCCTCCTCCCTCCCCGTGGTCGCGGCGGCGTCGGACGCCACCGCTTGGGGCGGCCGGAACGACGCCCGGCGCCGCCTGACGAGCAGGAGCGGCAGGCCGCCGCCGGAGACCTGCAGGGCCCCCGTGATCATGTCGGCGGGTAGTAGTAGCTAGCTAGCTAGCCACGCGCGCACGGGCTCGGGGCTCGCCGTGGGGCCGTGGAGCTGTGTTGCTGGTGGCGAGTGGCGGGGAGGAGGGGAGGCGCGAGAGATTTGTTTGGCCAGGAGCCCAGGACCAGGAGATGCTCCTGGGGAGGGTGGCGCGCAACGTGGACTCGCTGGAGGCGCACGTGTGGGGTGGGCCGTTCTGCCTGAGTGCGGCCTCTCGGCCCACTTCGCCTTGCTCCACTCCAGCATGTCCCTAGCTACTCTCGCAAGAAAAAGGAAAAACAAATTCCGTTTTTTTTTGTTGCTAAAAAACAAATTCCGTTTTTTAAAAAAAAAACCGGTGTGTTGCAACAGAAGCAATAAAAAATATCATTTGATATGGAAATGATCTAACTCGGGCAACCGTCCGTGACTCCTATCCGGACGCGGCTCCCCAGGAGCGGGCCCCAAAAAAAATAAAATACCTCACTCCCTCATGTTTATCCGCCCGGCCCCCCAACTCCTTTGTGCTTATCCACCAGGCCCCGAAGCAGCCGATCATTGTCCGTGCCCCTTCCCCCACCGTGCGCTCGTCCGCTATGGCGCCGTGCCCCACTGCCCCGCGCCCCATCGCCAAGAGCGCCGCGCGCTCGTCCGCTGCCGCACCGTGCCCCACCGCCCCGCGCCCCATCACTATCCGCGTCGTGCCCCCGTCCTAGACACTTGTGCCGCTCGCTCCCTCACCGAGCGTCTGTCCATCCATCTCCCATCGCCGTCGCGAACGCCGCTGACCCCGCCAGGGCCGCTGGGCGCATGTGTCGTGGCGCCTCAATTCTTCCCCAGCCGAGCCAAGGGCACCCACATGCCGTGGTGCTCGTGCGTCGTTGCCCACTGGCTCTGATCCTGGTGGCTGAAATCGACTAGCCCGGCCTTCCCCTCACCTATGTTGCATATGTATGTTTTAAGTGTTTCAGACGTTTCAGATGTATGCTGCAATTGTTTCATCTTGATGTTGCAAAAGTAGATCGATAAATGTTGCACATGTTGCATATTTTGCAAGTGTTTTAATTCAGAGGCATTTGTTCAAAATGTTTCATCTATTTCCAGACGTATGTTACAATCATGTTTTGATCTGGATATTGCATATGTTGCCACAATATATTTCCAAATGTTTCAATTGTTTCAGTCTTATGTTGCAGCAAGTGGTTTTAATGTTGCAAGTGTTTTATTTTGTATGTTTCATGTGTTTCACACACATGTTACAAAGCATGTTTCCAAATGTTTCCGGAGGCGAGCCATGGGGGAGGGGCGGATGGGGGTGTTGCGGTCGGGGCATGCTCGTCCTCAGCTGCTCATCCGGGCTTCTGAGTGTCGCCCGCTTGGGAGAGAAGAAGGGGTCAGGGGTGACTAACGGGAGCAGATAGAGGGGGGGCACGGTGGGGGCGGGGTAGAGGCGAAGGTGGACAGGGGGCAGGCTGCAGTGGGCCTGCGACTAGGAGCTGAGCCACGGTTCAGTTCGCTGGGACTTGGAGTTACGTCTGGACGTGCTGTGGGTGCCGGACGTCTAGGCGCTAGTGCCTCCGTATTTAATAGCCAAGTAAAATAAAGATTATGATTATTCAACTTTGCGCTAAGCTAGTCGTTTGAACACATCATGAAGCAAAGTCAAGGAAGCAATGAGGCCTTCGGCCTTACTACGATACCTGTTATCTTTCCACAGCTAACGCCCTTAGTAAGGATTTGATTTATCTTAAAAACAGTTTATGTTTCAATTTCTCGAACATTTATCTAGTAGGGTTCCTTTTTTTTTGGAAAATCATTTGCCTAGCTGCTTTTGTAGTTGCTTTTCCTGAGAAAACAAGTGAAACAATATAAGAAACCAAGTTCTCATTGAGAAACATCTAGTTTCCATGGGTAAATGGAGAGAACGAGCGAGATTGACACCGGCAGAGTGGGTTACAGGAAGCTGTTGCCTCCAACCAGAAAAAAAAACGTCTCTTGAGAAGCAGGCAAGCAGCCCAACGCCCCAAACTCGTTCAATAGGTGATCTGGGAACGGCCCACTGGATTCTACCACAGCCCACCCTAATCTAACACCGGCATACGTGCTAGGTTTTCTTGATATATACTCTGACGAAGCGAAGTCTTTGTGAATTTGTTTATTTTTTCCTCTAAAAAAATTTGTGAATTTATTTAAATAATATAAAAAATTAATTGGAGATGCGAGGAGTTGAACCCCGTACCTCTAGAAAGCTATTCATAGTGCTCTACCAATTGAGCTACATCCCCGATCTATATTTTTAAGCATTAGAGCTATTTTTATTTTTTTATCCTTTTTATAAATATAAAAGATTAATTAGAGATGCGAGGAGTTGGATCTCGTACATTATAACTATTTTATTTTTTTTATCTTTTATAAATATTAAAAGATTAATTAGAGATGCGAGGAATTGAACCCCGTGCCACTAGAAACTACACCCCCAATTTGTTTTTTTTGCATTATAACTATTTTAATTTTTTTCTTTTTTTTAATAAATATAAAAGATTAATTGGAGATGCGAGGAGTTGAACCCCGTACATTATAACTATTTTATTTAGTTTATCTTTTTATAAATATTAAAAGATTAATTGGAGGTGCGAGGAGTTGAACCTTTTTTATAAATATAATCTAAACATAAAAAGTTAATTGGAGATGTGAGGAGTTGAACCCCGTACCTCTAGAAAGCTATTCATAGTGCTCTACCGATTGAGCTACATCCCCAATTTGTATTTTTAAGCATTATAGCTATTTTTTTATTTTTTTTATCTTTTTTTTATAAATATAAAAGATTAATTGGAGATGAGAAGCGTTGAACCCCATACATTATAACTATTTTATTTATTTTATCTTTTTTATAACTATTAAAAGATTAATTGGAGGTGCGAGGAGTTGAACCTTTTTTACAAATATAAATTAAACATAAAAAGTTAATTGGAGATGGGAGGAATTGAACCCCATGCCTCTAGAAAGCTATTCATAGTGCTCTACCAATTGAGCTACATCCCCAATTTGTATTTTAAGCATTATAGCTATTTTTAATTTTTTAATCTTTTTTATATAAATATAAAAGATTAATTGGAGATGCGAGGAGTTTAATCCCGTACATTATAACTATTTTAAGTTTTTATATTTTTAAAAATATTAAAAGATTAATTGGAGATGTGAGGAATTGAACCTGTACCTCTAGAAACTAGATCCCCAATTTGTATTTTTTTAGCATTATAACTATTTTAAATATTTTAATCTTTGTTTATAAATATAAAAGATTAATTGGAGCTACGAGGAGTTGAACCCCATACATTATAACTATTTTATTTATTTTATCTTTTTATAAATTTTAAAAGATTATTTAGAGATGCGAGGAGTTGAACCTTTTTTATAAATATAATTAAACATAAAAAGTTAATTGGACATGTGAGGAGTAGAACATCGTATCTCTAGAAAGTATTCATAGTGCTCTACCAATTGAGTTACATCCCTAATTTGATTTTTTTAGCATTATAGCTATTTTAAAGATTTTATTTTTTTGAACTTTTATTAGAAAAGAATATATATGTGTTGCTACGGTTGAATATTAAACCACTATAGTTACTTTAGAATATTTTATTTTTAAAATTTTATTAGAAAAATGTATATGCGTTGGTACGATTGAATATTAAATTCCACCACATTTGAAGAACCATAAGTGATAAGTATCTAATTCTAATCTCTCATCCGAATTGGTGAGAACTTGGCTTTCCAATTTAGGTGCTACCTTTTCCTCTGAAGTTAGTTTTTCTTTTATTTTAAGTTATTACAATATTTTTTATTTAAACTAAAACATTATAGGCTAGAACATTTCTCTCATGAAATCAGTATGCTTTCTCTTATGATTTTCGTTCAAAGACGTTATAGTTTTTCTCTTTCGGAGGACATTTCTTTTGTCCAGCATGAAACACGATTTTTGTGTGACAATACGAGCAAATATGTTTTCTAGGATTCAAACTAAATTGTGTAGATTTTTGTGAATTTGAACCTACATCCTCTTCCTTCGTGTGAGCCTTCCTTACCGTTCTACTACATATCTGCTATTGTTGGTAGCAACATAAGAACCATTTCTTTTAAACTTTTAATGAAAAAAACTTTTAGTGGCAGTTTTCTTAAGCTAACTACTCTTAGAAATAATTTTAGAGGTGGTTTTCATAAGTAACTGCTGTGAAAGTCGTTCAAAAAATTCTTTTAAAACATATATGAAAATTGTAAGGAATATTTTGGCCCCTAAATAATTTCAAATAAAAACCTTCAAGTGCAAAGATGTAGATCTCATTGAACTCTATAATTTTGGTATACTGTCAATTTATATCTAACTTCATATGAAAAGGTTATAAATTTATATACACATCCTGTAGAAATAGATTTCTAGTGACGATCGTTTTAAGACAACCACCTCAAGAAAAATAAGGCCTTTTCCGATGGCAATTCTCTTAACCAGCAACCTCCTCTAGAAATACCAATTTCTAGTGGAGGATGGTTCATGGGTTGTAGACTTGTAGGCAGTCAACTCGTGTGGCTTATAGCACAAGCAGAACCAATTATGAACCTCCAGCAAAAAGTTTAGAGGTGCACGTAAACATATTTTATGCACAAGTATCATGAGGTGGCTTTTGGTTCATCTCCCATTTTAGTCGGCGCATTTTGGAAGGCGAAAAGAGCCAGCACCGTGGGTCTTAATTTGTCACAATGTCTGGAAATGCACACGTACTACTACTAGAAAACGGAGATTCCATGAGAGTAAAAGAAAATAAGAAATAAACACCACGGAAGTATAAATACCGTCATGAAAACAATGCATGACTTTCAGCCGTCATGTAATAACCCTCATGAATCAAACGCCAGGGAAATCACATTTTTGTGGTGGTTGACCGCCACAAACCTTTTTCATCATGGTGCCCTCCATAAAAATTAGGGCATCGTTAGGTTCGTGGAAA